CACTGGGAGCTCAGACTATGCGCCGTTACTGGGTATTCAAGTTCTCGCATATCATTCTGGAAATAAATCTCAGAGGCCTGTACATCTTCCAACGTCATGTCATGAAGCCATTTCATTCTATTGCTATTACTGGACTATCATCATTACCATCTATTGAATCCTTGCAACTCCTCCAAACGAAGATATCTCTTCATCCCATCATTGCATTCCATGAAGCCAACATACGGAATATGTGCAAATGTGCAAATATAAAAGTGCTCCGCGTAGATTTAGACACTCAAGCTGTTCGAATAACCTACACAATGTCGAATTTTGTAAAATGGCAGAACAAAAATCTCTTTTCCTCCCTCGTTCACCCGCATTACACCCCTCCCTCCCGTCTCTCCACTGAATTGTACAACACAACATAACATCCGCATGACCATAGGTCCATCAAATCGATCGATACTGTGCGCTCACCATCCTTCACCATTGCCAGTAACATTCCATCCACTACTACCGCTTGCATTATTATCATACCCCGTATTACCCGATTTACTTGCCTTATTCTTTCCCCCTTTACCCCCCTTACTACCCTTGCGACCTCTACCAGTGTATTCGTTATCACTAGGTTCCGATGACGCCCAACTTCCTGCCAGACTCAAAGCAGTAGGCGTTCTCGCATGATTCTTTTTCTTCCCACCACCATCATACTTCCCAATACTCGCATTTCCGAGTCCCGCGTAGCCACCCTGATTCTTACTATCCCAATTCCTCAGTATCTCGCTACTAGTAGGTGTATGATCCCTAAACTGCGGGTTCCCTTCTTCTACATCCTCATCATGATCTCCTCCCTCGCCGGAGTTATGACCATCGCCTCCCCATTGACTTCCTTTATTGGAGTTCCCCTTTTTACCACTATTGCTTTGATTTTGAGTTTTCTTATTGTTCCAGCCTTTGCCCTTTGCGCTTTGTACGACGTTATAGCTTGTATTGGTTGGTCCCCAGTCATTACTATTGTCTTGCTGGTTTTGATCTTCCTCTTGATCATCGTTGTGGGCGGTCCACTCGGGATCGTCGTAGCTTTTGGACTTTTGATTGTTTCTTGACTTATCATTGGGTGGCTTTTTTGAGGTGTTGTTCGATTTGGTGTTGTTTCGAGAAGCTGTACGAGAGCCGGACTTGCCATTGTTTTGTTGATTATCAGGATTTCCCCATCCTCCCGAATTTGCATTGCCTTGTTTCTCGTTCGAACCTCCCCAGCCTCCGGATGTGTTAATGTTATGATTGCCTGAATTTCCTCCCCAACCACCGGAATTATTATTGTTTGACTGGTCTTTGGAGTTTGATTGGCCGTTATTATCATTGTTGCCCCGGTTTGAAGATTTTTTATTTGAGTTGTTGGAATCCTGGTTATCTGCTCCCCAACCAGAATTTTGGTTGTTGGAGTTATCATTCGAGTCTTGGTTATTGTCATTGCCCCAGTCCCAGTTTTGGTTGTTCGAGTTATCATTCGAATCTTGGTTATTATCGTTACCCCAGCCCGAGCCCTGATTATTGGAATTATCATTCGAGTTCTGGTTATCATTATCGCCCCAGCTGGAGTCTTGATTGTTCGAGTAATCGTTTGACTTCTGGTTATTATCATTGCCCCAACTAGAATTCTGGTTGTTCAAATTATCATTTGACTCTTGATTATCATCGTTGCCCCAACTTGAGTTTTGATTGTTCGACTCCTGATTATCTCCTCCCCAGCCAGAGTTCTGATTCTTGGAGTTGTCATTCGAGTTGCTGTTATCATTTCCCCAAGATTTATTGTTCGCTGAGGTGTCCGCATCTTGCTTGATATCGTTTCCCCAACCAGAATCCCCACCTGTATCATTGTTGGCACCCCAGCTGTTTGAGTTGCCAGATTGATCATTATTATCTACGCCCCATGCATCGGCGGAGTTGTTGTCGTTATTAGACTGATTACTCTGGCTCGCTTGACCCTTTTCGCTCTTCTTGTTGTTCTTCTGCTTGTTGGAGGTCTGCGTTTTGTGACTACTAACAGAAGCGGCCCGTTGGCTGCGGTTCTGCCCATAATTCCCCGAGCCACCCGAGCCTTGATTATTGTTTGGATCGTTGTTGCCCCAATCACCTGAATTCTGATTATTATTGACCTGGTATTCATCTTTATTCCAACCAGAGCCCGAATCATTGTTGTTGCCTCCCGAACCGGAGTCTTCTTTGTTGTTTGTATCATCGACCCAACCACCTGGCACATGCTGGTTGTTGTTATTGTTGCTGCTACCCTGCTGCTGGCGCCGAATTTTGGAAGAAGCCCGGTTGGAATGGTTATTAGAAAAATCGCGCTGCGAATTCTGATTGGGGTTATGTCTGACAGTGTTATTTGAAAAATTGCGGGGTACTTCTGGTTGAAATTGGTGTTGATCATGAGGAGCGAGCCCGTTACCCCCAGACATATTATACATCGGAGGCGAGCCACCAAAATGCGCTGAAGCTGGAGCAAAGGTACCAATTGGCACTTGAGCTGGTGTGAGAAGTGTCGCAAAAGGATTACCATACACCCGACCATGGTAAACTCGAAGAACACCACTCTTCGTGTCAAGAAATGCGTTTGGACGAGGATCAGACGGGGTTTCAATAACATCTTCGCGAATTATAACTTCAGCTCTCATTTCTTGAAGGATCCTTCCCTCCATCATATGATTCAGATAGCGCGGTGGTTTTCGATTTTGTTGAACAACTTCGATTTCAGATTGATCGGACTCGTCTGAACTCTCTTGATTGTATTGGCGATTATTGTTTCTAGGCTGTTGATGATCGCCACGTTCTTTCGCACTAAAATCTCGTTGATGCTGGTTTCTTTGAGAATTTCGGTTTTGCTTGAGCTTCAAAATTCGTGGTAGTGGGAATTGGTTATTGTTGCCCGGTTGTTGTTTTTTCTTCAATGGCTTAAATGGTTTAATGGTCAGTGCAACTTCACATTCACTGTCCTCGCTGGAATCGCTGGAATCTTCCGCGCTGCTTTTATTCTTCGGTTTCCGCCGAGCTTTACACTCTAAGCATTCGCATGGGCGAGGTTTTGCTGAAGTCTCCGAGGTATTCTTCTTCAATGCAGACTTAAGTTTGGGAGCTGGCTCTTTGGCAGTCGGCTCTCTGGGAGTTGGTTCTTGAAATTTGACTTTCTTGTCGACTTCCTTGGTCGCTTGAGGCTTTTTCGATTCCGATTCCTTGACTTTGGGCTTTTCGGCTTTCTCGGCTGCTGGTTTCGGAGGAGGTTCTTCATCAGAAGAGCTGGCGGAAGAGGCACCGAAATCAGAAACTTCGACTTCGATTTGAACACGGCGACGAATACGGGGTGGACTTGCTATGGAAACCTTGGGATCGGCCATGTCAGCCTTGAAATTTGCTATGCTAGCAGATCTATATGCAGCCTTGGTCGGAGCGGGGCCAGCGATCCACTCGAATACACTTGCCGGGCGTTGCGGCATTACGGAGAACATTTAAACAACACGAAATCGAACTTTGAGTATTTCAATATCTTATATGTCCATCGTCAGAAGCAGGCTTCAACGCTAAATATTTCAATACCCTAGACATGAAATGCCTTGAGGATGTGTTATTGAAAGGCCTTACGTTGAATGTGCTACACGCTCTTATACACTGATGTACAATGAACACAAATACTTGAAGAAATGGTCCACAGTTTTGAATATATGATACGGGCAATGAAGGGGAGAGAACCCCTATTCAATGAAGAATGAAACCCATCAAGAGAACTTGACACCGAGAACCATTCATGAAGAGGCCCGATAATCCAGCACAGGGTATGATCAGTACGTCAGGAGTAACGCCTGCAAAGTGACATGTAGAAGTCGCTTCGATAGGTTTAGGCTCGATGATGATGAAATTTAATGATTTTGTGAGTTGAAGTTCGAAGGTGAAGCGTTTTCGATCGTGATGTTCAATAATTCTGGGTAGTAAAGATAGAGACCACAAGACATGTAAGATGAAGCATGAAGATGGTATTAAGGAGAATTAAAGAGAGTTCGAATGTCGACTTGAGAAAAGAGAGAGATTTCCTTTGCATGCAGACGATCAAGAGAAGGGAGGAGAATGAAGTTACTTGGGGTGGTGGTTCAAAATCTTTATTTCTTTTCCACATTGAGTTCCTTAGCGTACCTTCCCATCTGAGTTGCTAGCATTCCCTCACAGTTCATTACTTATAACCCCTAACTTCCGAGATTATACCCACAACTCATAGCTCATAACTTATATTTCATGATTCCAAAATGTTCTGCCAGTGTAAATGATGCTTCAAATAGCGAAGACGAATAGACATTTCGACCTTTTCATACTCACACTCACGTGATATATGAAGCTCTACGGCTGATTTCCTTGCACTGGAACAGACAGCCATCAGAAATTGGGATAAAGGTTGAACGCGGCTGATGAATAATTCTTGTTTCTGCTCTGTGGAGGGCTTGAATGTAAATATCCAATATAATCAAAACTTCAATCAGCAAGAGATCGTAATCTATCAACCCGTCTCCGTTTGTCAAGTATCCCTTAATCAATGCCCAAGTAAAGTCAATATAATCTAAATCCTAGCCAAAAAAATTCGCTATCAACGAAAGAGGATAGATTTGAATTATGATGGATATTGAAACCAGTTGTTTGAAGATGGCCTAAAGGATAAGCAATTGCCCACCTTCCTTGTGGACTACTACAATTGGACGAACGGGAACAGGAACCATGGGTCGACCAGGTGAGGCCACCTAGCCTTAAGATCATATCTCGAGGACTCTTGTAAGAAAGAATAGAGCCTTGCCGACTATTCTTGGCCTCGCTACATGTCGTCATGATCTTCCAGTTTTACATGTGAGACATAACATCCTGCAATGCCCCCCTATATGTTGATTCTTACAGGCTTGTCTCAATCCATCCTTTCGTTGAAACTTCGTGATTCACTTAGTTGATGAAACTATATCCATGCAACAATGTAGCTGGAGATGTCACAACTTAGCCTTAGCTTGAAGTTCACCTCTTTTCCACTCTTTGTTGATCGTAAGATTTCTCCAATAGTTCCAGATTCCAGCGAGTCCAGCAAATGGTGGGCATAAAAGTAATAGCCAGGCCCACCATCTGGGACTCTTGCCTTGTAAACTTTCCATAACCTTTTGTAACTCTATCTTCAGTTCATCTTTTCCTTCATCGTTCCACACTACCAATCCATGACCATCCCCTCTGGCTTGACATCTCTTTGCCTTTTCTCTCACGTCCCCTTGGCTCTTAACCCTGTTCTCAGCATCTTCTTCCGTCAGATGTGAGTCTCTGTCCCTTAATCTTTGCATTTGTATCTTTGGATCCCTTACGGCCACGACAAGCACAGTACCGCATATAACATCGATCCCACTCTCAAACAATAAAGGCACATCAAGAACTACAGCCCAACAGCCTTTTAGATAATATCCGAGCAATTGTTTATACATCTCTTTTCTGACTGCCGGATGCACAATTCCATTCAACACTGCCCTATCTCTTTTTCTCTCCTCACTATCCCCGAACACTCTTCTACCCAGTGCAGGTCTGTTCAACGGTGCGCCGTTTGCATTATCATGATCGGGAGAAGGAGGAAGGAGCAGATCGGGAGTAGTTGGTGAGAAATGTGCGACAATCTTGTCGTAACCTGGAGTCCCGGGTTCTACAACTTTGCGTGCAAGTAAATCGGCATCGATAATGGGAAGAGAATATGGAGCTTGAGAAAGTATTGATGAAACCGTGGATTTCCCGGTTGCGATAGAGCCGGTGAGACCAATTAGTAGCATGTTGCTGATTTGTGGTGGATGTTATGAGAGAAGTTTGAAAAAGGAAGGAGTGACGTGCGGTTTTTGAAGTTACGTCGTTGCGGGGAATGCCGAGGCATCTCTTGAGCTTAGACCACATGCCTAGCATCTAGATTCTAAACACTCAACACTCAACACCACACATCAACATCAACTCATGTCGCGATCAGGACTGTTTGTTGTTCTGACCGAAATAGCACTGGGTCGAACGATCTATGGTCTCAGAAATGAATTTATTTGAACCCTATTCAACGGTCATATGTTAACCAGCCTATATCACTTGAAGGTATCTACCTGTTTCGAACCCTCACAACCGAAAGATCCGTTGTAGGCTCCTTTCGAATATTTGGTTATAGATATCTTTTAAACATTATACATGCAGCAAATAAGCTAGTCTCATAAATTTTACTCCCATTATCAATTATTTCAGTTCCAACTTCTATATCAGAGAATCAACCCTCTTCCCCTTGGATCGTCTTCATCACCATGTCGATGGGCATAATCTCCCATTCTGAGTAGGTAAACCAGTCAATTGATCAGTAATATACCAGTCCTCACTTCCTACTGCGGTTGGCGCATAGAATAATCCTTTGGGATCATACTTCTGTTTCAAGCTGTACAGACGGTCATAATTGGTGCCATAGAAAGCTTGCTGAAAATTTGGCTCCAAGATATCTGCCTCGGACATATACGCGCCACCATCAGGAGAAACATTTCTCCATAGTTGAATCCAGTTGTAAGTGAGTACTTCAGATGCCAGTGCAATGGCTGCATCATCAGCATCTGCAGCCCAGATGTTTGCCATAATAGCGTGCAAGCAAGTGTCTCTCCAAGCTGGGTTTACTGAGTTGTCCTTCCCCGCATTGTCTGCTGCTTGGATGTTGAAAGCTAAGAATGATCCTCCAGCTAAAATACTTTCTTTAATAGCGTAGAAGGTGGTGTCGGTAATGGTCTCGTTCTGGAAATTGGATTTTGGGAAGAGACGGGAACCGGTTTTGATGTTGACGGTACCTACAACCTTGAGAGGGAAATTGTCCCACCATGCATCATAAAATTCAGTGTATTCTTTAATGGAAGGATTAATGCTGATACCAAGGTCGTTAAGCTCGGCGAACCATGGAGCAACCAAAGTTTCAAGTTCAGCTGCAGTGTAGTTTGGCGCAAATAAAGGTTGCATGCCAAACGACCACGCATCAGTACCTGTGGCGAGGATGGCGAAGTACGAATAGATACCCTTTTCGGCGTGCTCAACGAAGTGGTCGAAATAGGTGCGCACACCAGCCCAGAACACATCAGCGGTGATATTACCACCAACTTCAAAACTGAATTTCATGACAGTTGAAGAAAGGACTGGATAAACTTTACTGGTGACGGATGTTACAACACCAAAAGTCGAACCACCACCTCCTCGGAGAGCCCAATAGAGATCGGTATTCTCTGTGGCCGAGGCGGTAACAAATCGCCCGTCTGGAGTAACAACTTCCATCTCGAGAACTTGGTCTGCCGCCATACCATAGATGGAGGACAAAGGGGAATGACCGCCTCCTGCAACATAACCACCAGCAACACCTACTGTTCGACCTTCACCTCCAACAGCTGTAACACCATTCGCCTGCGCAAATTCATATATTTCAAAGGCTTGAATACCTGCTCCCATTTTTACAGCTTTTCCTGTATAATAACTGGTTGAATAGTTGGGAATGTACTCGAGATCCTTCAAGTTATGAGTCCAGATAGAAAGCGCACCAGCACCACTAGATTTTCCATTGAAGTCATGACCTGTGTTTTTGACAACAAGACGTAAGTTGGCATTGCGAGCAAAATTGACCGCAAGTTGAACTTGGGCAACATGGGAGACGTTTAGCGCATACACGGGATAGCCTCCTAGCGTACAGCTCGCGCTAGTATCATTGGTAGGCATACAAGTCCGTCCCTGATAAAGGGGCCACATGATCGAGGTGGGATCCGATGCGCTATGTACCATTAGCATATGTATTTGCGACGATGTTAGTCTACATACTGTATAGAACTGTTTGTCCAATCATCCGTGATGTACAAACACTCGGCAGTATTCTCATGATGAGGCCAGTCAGCATAACATGGCGCTGCAAGAGGGACTGTTGAGATCAGAGCTCCCCCGGCGAGTATATCAAAGATATCCCATACCAGGGTCGCTGGCCATGCTGCATCACCAGGATAAACTTTGCAAGAATAGGTTCTTTTGCTAAGGTCACTGCTGCTGTTATCAAACTCAAACAACTCAGCATTCGACAGTCCAATATCTGTCAGGTTTGTAACTATCGCATCCGTGAGCTGAACTTTTCCATCGACAAGTGCACTGGCTGGAGCTAATGTGGAAGAGTTGACAGCTGATACAAAGTTAGTTATTAATCTTCAAACATGACTGCATTCTAATTATGTTAGTCTACTTACAGTAATAAGTTCCATTGACGACGATCTCAGTCGCTAAGCCCTGTACAATCGGAACAGCGAGGAGAGAAGCCAAGGCCCACCGTGCGACTGATGAAACCGCCATGTTATCAAAGAAACAAACTCTATCTGGCAAAATGGGTAGTCACTGATGAGGTAAACAAATTGAGTTTCAAAAATTGTCGATTGAAGAATCAAAGGGGCCACCGAAGTTAAAAAACCATTAAGGGGAGACTTTATATATGAACTGAGCCCTGACGCCGTTCTACCCCGAGAAGACCGAACTATTTCGTTGCGTCTGATTGCCACTTGGCTGTCATGCCAATTTATCGGATGATTCCATATTGCTATAATTTTATGCCGGTTCTGGCAAGACATCCTACAGTGGATCAATTGAACGTATTGCACAGGATCCAGTATAAATACGCATGGTTTTGTCTCTCAATCTTCTCCGTGCTTCGGAACATTACATGGAATTATGTAACACCGAAACTTCCAATAGCTTTTGTAAACGCTGCTAAAGATTTACCGTTAACAATGTCACCGGTAAGATAATATTGAAGCAGAACAAAAGTTTTCATGGTCACATCTAGAGCCTGCAGAAGGCATCTTCTCATTTCCATCTTTCTTTAAGCTACCAGTCCGTATCCTCGCAACCCTATGTTTGCTTAACATTGCTGGCTATGTGTGGATATACAATTCCGCAATCGACAGGATATGATTCCGGTTCTCACTCCTCCGAAATTTTGCCTTTATTCGTCGTTTGGACCTGCAGAACTACCATGCCCCCCATGCCCCCCATGCTTTTCAGTCCACAGTATCTCGACGCAAGATCGCCGAGAGCTGCCGATTGTACTTGGTGGGGTATGTATGGGTTATTCCTGAGAGTCTTGACGGCTTTGTCGTACGACTTACAGGATGCATACCTCGGTGTGGACCGAATGAATGGCATATTTGACCATTTCAATGGAAGACTCAACAGGAATAGCTGACTATTGATATAATAATATATTGATAATGTCTTGAATGTGGAGGGTTGACTTCTAGTGAGCTGAAAGCGGTCAAATGCTGCATCAGGGTGCTTTTGTGGGAGTGTTGCTCATGCGTCCACATGGGAAACTCTTGTTATCCCTTCAACCTTTTCGCTTACAGCAAGAAATGATTTTCTTCTCCTGGGCACGCTGGGGTACTTGTTTTTCTCCTCCTCAACGGGACACCAATTTTAAGCCCTGTCGATCTCCTTGTTTGTTTTCTTCGGACGAATAACCATAAACTGCAAAGTTGTACACTTCTCCACTAACGACATGGATCTAGGTAGTGGCATGCCGCGTGAAGCACAGTGCCAACATTCTGAATCTCTGCCTTATGGAAGTTGTTTCAAAGGTTTCTAGGACGCTAGTCATTGTATCCATTGTATCCATTGTATCGAAGATAACCGCAAGCTTATCTCGCCTTCCCTTGATACAAGGAATTCCTGTCGATCTCGTCACCACGTTTGCTCAAATTGCACAACCACAAGTTTTCATTAATCATGCATTGTGTCTGTATTTTACGTCGAACCATAATCCCAAGAATACAGCGATAAAAACTTAAAAGGTACCTAAGTGGGTCATCGCTTTCTCAATTTTGGCGGAATTGGCAGGGTAGTCTCCACTGCGGCCCCAGAACTCCAGAAGCACCCGACATCCCCTGGTCACAGATGAAGTGGTATCCAAACAAAACTCAATATAAATCCACAAGATCGGTAGAATCTAATCAACTCTTATGGAGTTTTTTCTTTTCCATACTTGAGCCGGTTTACTTGCGGAAATTTTCCAGTTTGGATAATTCTTGCCCGACTGATGCTGGTATTGTTCGCGGTTTGTCACCGCCCCGACTACCACCATCTCACTCATACACCGCACAACGTGTGATGTGGGTAATTGGCGAACCTGAAATTTGATACCAAAGGGGCTCCTCATCAAAATCTTTATAGAAAGTCGTCTTCTGTGAACCTGTAAAGGTAGTAATCGATACCACCCCTTCAAAATTCAATCACTTCCAGTGCGGACACAAACCGTTGTTGCGTCTCATTATTATCGCAGTGGCAGACTATCCATAATAAAGTTCTTTGTGGACCGAGGGTCAACAACCACTTTACAGATACCGGTAGTCCGGGAAGTGATGCCGGAACTAAGGGAATATCTCTAGTTTCCATGCGTGCGGCTGGAAAGTACACGGTCTCACTGCTGATAAAATCAATCTAAATTATTTTTTCTCTTGTCGTTTTGTGGTATATATAGATCTAGCCTCGGAGTTTTATCCTTCTTGAGTAAACAAGTAGATAGCCGTACGAAGTCTATAATGTTCTGAAGCAATTCTTTGGGTAACAAAGAATGAGCAGCTTTCCGTCTTACATGACCTACTCCACTACTATAGCGGTCCAAAATTTAATTTAATTAGCTAAGCTTCTGCATGAAAAGCACGCTCATGTTATTGGTTCTTGAGACGTTTGATTTGGACGTAAGTCATGAGCGGTTTGCTTGGATCATAAATACGAACTGGAAGGGAAAGACCCTCAAACGACACGCGGCCTGATCGAGCTTGATTTAGACTGGTCGCCCTGTTTCTGGCAATCAAACAAGAAAGCAGAGGATTTGGCACATGCTGTGAGGATGCTGTACCCTAGCCTTCAAAATGTATCTCAATTTAAAGAGACACCCTGGGAAAGTTTAAAATTTTGTCGTCAACTCTGCATCCGAGACTGCAATTACTCCCAAACATTTATACTTGAAATGCCTTACTCGAGTGACCGCCAATCGATTGAGTGGAGGGCTTATGGAACAGGATCTCCAAGTCACTTTCCCAAACACCTTTCGCTATGGTTGATACCTCACTCCAAGACTTTGCTTTGTTCATCGTCGTCTTCAGCCCAGCTTTAGCATTGATCAATGTGTGTCTCAGGGTATGGAGCAGAGTTAGTTTAGGTCAATTTGGCTTGGGTAAAGATTTCCAGTTTTGAGTTGTTGTGTGGCAGTCCTCTTACAATTTATCACAGATGATGGCCTCATCGTGCTCTCTATGATTTTGTCTATAGCGGAGACTTATGCACATTGGCAATGTAGGTAACTCGAATGTAATATCCCTCATGGGTGCCCGCTGACAAAACTACTGTAGACGTTATATTCAATTTTGTAGGTCTACATATATGGGATGTACCACTCGATCACGACCCGGTTCCTGGACTCAAAGTTTGTCGCACCCTAACAATGGCCTACATACTGCTTATTGACACTTCTTAGTATAACTTTGCCGTCCAAATTCTCTATAACCCCATTCTTGCCATCGTCAAGACTTCCATCTTGATGTTCTTCCTCCGCCTCGCAGGGCAGAAGACTGAAATCAAACGTATAATATGGGCACTCTTGATCATTAATAACGCCTTGATGGTTGCTATTTTCATTGTAGTCATCTTTCAATGTACACCCATTGCATACAACTGGCAAGTTGATATTCCCGGAGGCTATTGTATTGAACAAGGTGTATTTTATGTTGCTACTGCAGTTGTCGCTCTCGTCACAGATATTTTGGTTTTAATCGTTCCATTCTGGATCGTCATTGGATTGAAAATGCCCCGAAGAACAAAAATCGCTGTTATTGGGGTATTTTTTCTCGGAATTCTGTAAGTCAAAATTTGTTTCTCAAACTACATGTCTGAAAGTCAAACTGACCATCGTTCAGAGTAACAGTAGTAGGCATAGTCCGTCTCACAATGATGATTATCGCCTTTTTCTACCCTCCCCCCGTCGATTCTACACGAGGCATCAGCTTTGTCACCTCAGTAATTGAAATCAATCTCGCAATAATTACAGCATCTGCTCCTGCTCTTAAACCTGTGATGCGGCGATGGTTTCCAAAGCTCTTCGGTTCTTCATCAGATGGTGCCTATAATAATCAGAACAGCGGACCTTATGCTTTGCAAGGCAGCAGTCGATATGAACGCGGAACAAGGAACGGAGCAGGTTTTAAGAGCTCGCGATTAAGTAATGGGAATGGACTGATCAGATTGGATGATGTACCAGATATACCGGATGTCAAGGATGGGAGGATTGAGGATTTGAATAGAATTCAAAGGGAGACAAGCAAGGGAGATGGGGATAGTGATGAGGAAATTATGAAATATGATGGAATTATTAAGACGACGAGTGTTGGTGTGGAATATGGAGATGGGAAGAGTGATATTTCTGATTCGCAGTATGCGAGGAGGACTAGTGCGGAGATTTTATAGGATAGGCATAACGATAAGGATCACAGTACTTGAAGATGTTATGTCGCAATAGTATCGTGGAGTTTGGTTTCCTTCGATAATTTATGGTGCTGGAACGAGGTCGTTGAATGATATTCAACACCAAATTGACAGTAGTGCCTAACCCAAAGTCACAGCCTCATTACTGAAGACAACTCATAGTCCATTTCACACAAGCTGTTCCCAGAAGTCAGACCCCCTAGCCTGCCAATGAAAGGCTACGAATCTCAGCCTCAAATGTAATGGCGGGCTTTCTGGTCATACTAAGTGATACTACATATTCCCTCATAAGACACTGCTCGCGTCTACGGATATCGTAAATGTCCATTCGATCCTCACAGTAACTTATCACTAGACTAACGAGTTCATAGAGGTCAAAACTGAAATGATGTAGAGAAGATTAGCAGGGCCCCTGTACTAATAATGACATGAGTAATCGAAGATGAGTTACCAATTTCTTGGAGATTTGGTGATGGGTTTAGGCGTTTTCTTGAGGGGGTTTTTTTTTGTATATTTCTCAATCATACGGGAGAGAAGAGCGATCTTTGGTTTTGTGCTTTCGGTATGTTCTCTTTCTACAAGAGACGGGTGCGTTTCTCCGGATCTTGGCATTCGATACATTGTTCTTCTGTAGGAAACAAAAACAATTCCCTAGGGTTTGGCGATTGCTGCCGATCTAACAAAAGTCTTTTGGTCACTGAAGAATACCTAAGCTATAAGAGGTAAACTAGCTAGGCTCGATGAATCCAAATCCCAAGATGTTGTGTTTTTCTTCAAACCCATCATTCTGCCTTGAAAGAAATAGATATAGTGTCAAGTCATGTGAATCAAGATTAATAATATGTACTAGAACCCAAGACTGTCGCATTGAGCGGGAACTAGTCCAATCAAGAGTTTGAGACTGATGGTATGAATATCGGAAAATCGAGGAGGGCATACCACGCCATGGAATAATGAAGATTACCTAAGCCCGTCATGGGAAATATTGATGGCCTTGAGTTGTAGATCTCATGGTTTGGACTATTTCTGAATATGTATCTAAATTGGACACTAAACTCGATCCAGCTATTTCCTGTTCTCCAATTCTGCCCATCATCTCAGTAGTATATTCTCTAGCTTCAAGGGTTACCAAATTCATCTTTTGCTTCTGATTGATTGCATCATATATCGCTATGAAGTCCCTTTAAATTGGACGGTTTACACGCTTCGAGTGAGTCACCACGGTACATGCACGACATCCAAGCTAATAACTCAACGGCGCGAGGGAAAAAATGTTTAGCTTTCCACTAAGATAATTAAGTCTACCTCGTTCATGTTTATGAGGTATGTATCATCTTTCTTAGATCATAACAATACCTGCTTCGTTTATGGAGGGTTCTGATCGGGTGGATAGAGTGGAACGAGATCGATCTCCCGGATTTGACATTTTAAACTTCGCTAACTGGGATAAGGAGTGTTTTCAAGCGAGTTTAGTTCGCTTCTAGTGTCGTCCTAATGTCAAACTAATCGCGTACTTGTCACTACTCGCTTGTTTTTTTAACTTCACCTAATTGTGTTCTATGTAGCTACTAGTTTAGCTCCAGAGTACAAATTTTCTACAAAAAGAACTACGTCTCCCCAAGTTCAACGAACTACAGACACAACAGTAAAAACACATCGCTCAAAGCACACATCCAATTCTCACACCTTGAAAACATTATACAACCAAGCAATCATGTATCACGCATCTATTCAAAAGCACGCGCGCATTCGCCATCTCGCAAGAAAGGGCGCTTCTCGGGGTTCTTCTCAATCATTGTACCCCTCCCTCTTAAAACAAAGTCCCGTCAAACAATTTACTCTGGCCAGTCAATCACTACCAGTTCCCAATGACATGGCTATCGATAAAGATGCTATCGTCAACGCCAATATCTCCGCACACAGTGTTCCCAACGCTCTTCACGAGGATCAAACTATCATTCTCTCCGATGCCTCTACATGTGCCGAGGTTGATCCCGACACCGCAATACATCATCCATACACCGTGCAAGCACGCATCAAGAAGCTATCCTCCAACACCATCCTCTCCGACCACCCCGACACCCTCTCCGACACCTCTACCTCCGCTGAATACGACGCCGATGCAGAATCCGAATCGGACATCACATGCGTCGACCTCGACAAAATAGCCTCCATCCTCTGGGTCGAAGGTCCAGGCTTCTGGGTCCACGATTTCGCGCTGGTCCGCCAATTCGAGGAGGAAAAACGAATTGCGGATATGACAGGCGGGGGCGAGGAATGTTTTGCAGCGGAATATGTGGAGAAGGAGGAGAATATTAGCGAGGGTATAAAAGCCTGGATTGAATCCAGATTTTCAATCGGACGCAAAGAAAACCTCAAGAAGGACGGGGAGGAGGAGTTGGCTAAGGAAGAGGGAGTGCGTAAATTGTCTGATATGTGAATTCTCTTGAGGATTGGATATCTGTGAGTTTTCGAATCACCTTCAGATATGAAAATGGAGATGCGACCACGATAATGAGAAGAGCGGGAGTTTATGTTTTAGGGGAGGGGGCATACCTTTAGGTATATAGCATTAGGAATAGTAATGGTAATGGTAATAGTAATAATCAGCGCTTCAACCAACTAACTGAGCAATTAATATAATTCTCATCACACAAATCTATCTCTCATAAATCACGCAATACAATCGTCAAATCATGAGCCCATCTCAATATCCACTAAGTACTTACCCCATCAACCCAAACCTCCCATCTCATCTTTTCTTTTCTTCTCCCAAAAGGACGTTTGCAAATGACGTTTACAAATGACACTAAAGAATCCAAACCCCCTCTATTTCCAAATCAGACAAGTGCAGCCCTATCGGATCGGTTAAGTCTGTCGACCGAACATCATTTTCGGGGTGGCGACCCGATCTTCGGTAGAAGATGAAAGGGAGGAGACGAAGTTTTTTTGGGTTGATTGAAAAGAATTCTCAAACACATATTATATATTGTAAGAAGGGAAACTTCAAGTGAATATAATGAGGCATCAATGAGTAGGGAACCCCTTTGAACACTTGCTCTCAGAATTGGTGAGGAGGGATTTACACATACATTATGGAAATTTACCAATCTTGCATCTCGTCTTGTATGGATGCGATTCGGGATACTACGTATTCACATAGCCTTCCACGACTCTCACACATGTCTACTTTCTTTTTGAGACTCAAGAATTACTTTCTCTCATTTTGTTCTATTCCATCATCGTAGAACGCCAAGTCATAAATTGCAAAAAAACACCGAAATATTATTTCCCCCAGGTCTACTCCCGCCACCCCCGACCGGATTTTCCTGAAGTATGCATTTTTGTTTTCATCCTCTGTTGTCATCTGCCTTTTCGCTTATGTGCATCCAAAATTATCGTGTCCCTCATGCCTCAACAATCTCTCCATCGGTAATACATCCATGACTAGCATCTTGTACCAATCTCGAGTATTTCGCCAAAGTACCCTTGGTATATTTCAATGGAGGTGCGACAAATTCTTTTCTCCTCCTCTCCAATTCCTCCTCACCACCCTCAACTTCCAAGTCCAAAACTCTCGTTTCAGCATCAATAACAATGGTATCACCATCTCTAACCAATCCAATTGGTCCACCAACTTGTGCCTCTGGTACAATATGTCCAATCAAGAATCCGTGAGATCCTCCACTGAAACGTCCATCGGTAATAAGAGCGACATCCTTTCCAAGTCCTGCACCCATGATTGCCGAGGATGGTTTTAACATCTCTGGCATACCTGGTCCACCCTTTGGTCCCTCATAACGAATGACTACAACAGTCTTCTCTCCCTTCTTGATTTCGCCACGTTCGAGAGCTTCGATGAAATCATTTTCAGCATCATAAACCTTGGCTTTTCCAACGAATCGTAATCCTTCTTTACCGGTAATTTTACCAACAGATCCACCTGGTGCGAGGGAACCGCGGAGAATTTGGATGTGACCAGACTTTTTGATGGGGTTTGAGAATGGACGAATAATTTCTTGGTCGGATGGGAAATCACGAACATCCTTGACGTTCTCAGCGAGGGTCTTACCAGTAACAGTCATTCCTGATCCATCGATGACACCTTCCTTGATGAGGAGTTTAATAAGAGAAGGAGTACCACCGATGTTGTAAAGATCGTTGAAGACGTATTTACCAGATGGTTTGAGGTCTGCGAGGAAAGGGGTTCGGTCAGAAACAGCTTGGAAATCATCGATTGTAAGCTTGATTCCTACAGCATCTGCCATAGCAATAAGGTGAAGAACAGCGTTAGTAGATCCTCCAGTAATGGTAACGAGAACCATAGCATTTTCGAAAGCCTTTCTGGTCATGATATCTCTAGGTCTGATATCCTCCTTGAGAAGAGTTTTGATTGCGCCACCAGCTGCGTAACACTCAAGTAATTTGGCCTTTGAATCTGCGGGGTTGGTAGAAGATCCAGGAAGAGTCATTCCCATAATTTCAATAGCTGATGCCATTGTGTTGGCAGTATACATTCCACCACATGCACCTTGACCTGGGCAAGCATGACGAATAACATCAAATCTTTGCTCTTCTGTAATCTCCCCAGTAATGAATTGTCCGTAGGCTTGGAATGCGGAGACAATATCAATATCTGCGTTGTCTTGCGTTGCGGCACATCCTGGTTTAATCGAACCACCATAAACCATAAGAGCTGGTCTGTTGACTCTGCCAATTGCCATCATAACACCAGGCATATTCTTGTCGCATCCAGGAATCGAAATGTTTGCATCATACCATTGGCCACCCATAACAGTTTCAATACTATCCGCAATCAAATCTCTTGATTGAAGACTGTATCTCATACCCTTTGTACCCATGGAAATACCATCCGAAACTCCAATGGTGTTGAATTGATATCCTACCAATCCCGCTCTCTCTACTCCTTCCTTCACTTTGTGGTTGAGTTCCAAAAGATGCATGTTGCAAGGATTTCCTGACCACCATACTGAAGAGATACCAACTTGAGCTTTATTTAATCTTTCCTCGGTCATGCCCGTGGCATACAACATTGCCTGTGAAGCACCCTGTGATTTTGGTTGTGTAATGGCCGATGAGACTCTGTTGAGTTGTGGCTCTGAGTCATTGGAGGATATGCGGAGAGATGAGGTGGAGGATAAAGAGCGTCTGGATATAGAATTAGTCAATTGAGAGGGAGCAGACTTCGCAGACACTTACACATATTGTGAAGCTCTTCTTGAGGTGAGAAGAGAGGCATTTGCCCTCGTTCTCAATTGTGAGAGCATATTTGAGGGATGTTGTAAGTAAAGTTAATTACTTCAACTTTTGTCTTTGTCGATGCTTCAAATTTTCAGGATTGAAGAACAAGTATGAGAATTCTCCTGTGCTTCTCTTACAAGCAAAGACGAATGAAGGATGAAAGCAATTGACACTTTCCAAATAGTCAACACCACCCACTTCAAGTATGAGCAAGAAATTATTTCTCGAGATCGATATCGGAGCCCGGAGAATCCACAAACCCCAGCTTTGCTCCGTGTTGCTGATTAAACTCATCGTGATTGGTTGAAAGTTTTATAAATCTCAGCTTGAACTTGATAGATTCACTCCCTGGATACACCTCAATAATTGGGTGACCGGCCAGGTAGGTACTAGATCAAGTCTTCAACTCATAACCACCGCCCTTTCTGCGTGAATCTCACTTGAATGATTCTCATCCGGAAGAAGATGAGAGGGGATGACAATAAGACAATAAGAAGATGAATAACTCCCTCAAGCTTTCACAACCTACATACATCATTACTCACGATAATCGTTCCTATTTCGGAGCAACCATTACTCCACCATTAATCTGGACTTCTCAATCATCGGAATTCCTTCTCCCCGTCTCAAATGCCACATCCGTCTCATCCAAGAAGCTCCACCATGGGAACCATTCGCATCGCACGGTTCGCAAAGGATAAAACGAACCCGAAAACACATGTGAGCCGGTTCCTCCACAATTTATGTCACATCAGTCAGCGCATACCGAGGTGATAGGACGTCGCATCCCATATCAAAAGCGTGAACAGGTACCAATGCTTGTGATATTGACATTTTGAGACATAGAGTTTCTGCAGGTACAAGTTATAGCGCTGTGGGCACCTAGTTATTTAAAGATATAAGTATCGAAGTTGATTTCCTCTGGATTTTTTGTTCTTTCCTCGAGCATTGTTCTTTTCCCTACTTGAGTATTGCATTTCCTTATCTATTTACCCTGCATATCGCCAAAACTACCTACCTGGGTACAATACGGAACTTCCGCATCACCTCATAGCTACTTACCCCGCTTGACATCTAAAGCTCCTATCTTAGAAACAACATCAACAACCAACAACAAACTCTCAACACAAACCAAACCATGGCAGCTGGACCCGAAGTTACGCTGAAGGATCTAAGTGGAGATTGGGTTATGGTAAGAAACTCTCCTCTACCTCATCCATACCAATCCCACCCACATATTCTAACACGACCCAGAACAAAAGCCTCTCCGACGATACCGACGCCGTCCTCGCCCTCCAAGGTATAGGCTGGTGGACGCGCAAAGCCATCTCCCTCGCCACCGTAACCCTGCACGTCAAACAATACATCGACGAAAACCAAATCCCTCACATCGACATTGATCAAACTGCGACCGGTGGTCTCAAAGGTACCTCGGAATATCGAGTCCTCGATTGGACAGCTCGCACGCATGAAGATCATCTGTTTGGGAAAATTGCTGCGCAGTCTCGTTTTTGTACTCTGGAACAAGCAGCGGAATTTGATGATGATGCATTTTTGAGAGATGGGTGGTTAGAGGGAGAGGAGGAAAATAGTGGACCCGAGGGTCAAAGACATGTGCAGAGTTATGGTGTGAATGAGGAGAAGGGATGGACGGCAGATCAGGTTTGGGGATTTGCGATGATTGATGGAAAGAGATATTATACCCGGAGAGTGGTGGTTAAGAAGGGAAAGGAGGTATTGAAGATTAGACTGGTTTATAATTACCAGGGAAAGCCATAGATAGGTGTGTAGGAAAGCAGAGAAGAGCGAAGTAATCGGATAGCAGAGGATAGAAATATCTAGGGATTCTAGGAGTTTTCAATCGTTGCCTTTGTTGCTTGCATATATATCTATTAAAGCAAGATTCTCGGGTTACACTGAAATTGTCTTGAAAATGACATTTATATGGACTTTCGACACCACTTTGACGACCATTCCACATCCAAAATCTTACTCTACCCACTCCCCAAAACAAACCCTCAATCCCCCATTCTACAAACCCACACCCTTTATCCTTCTCTCCTCGCCACTGCACCCCTCCCCCCAAAACTACCCAGGCTCCTAGGTAAACTAACCCTGTACCCCCACTCCACCCGCACCATCCCATCCCCGTAATCCATCCCCGTAATCCATCACTCCTCATTCCTCAATCCGTTTCCAGACCCCAAATTACCTCCCCAAACAGACTAAACGAAAATAAACTAAAGTCATCAAACTAATCCATACCATACCATCCAAACTAATCCATACCAATTCATCCAATCACCATCCCTCAATCCATCTGTTGCACATCGCTAGTTTTTTCGCGCAGGCTTTATCCCTACATAGTACTTACTGTATACAACATAGAAGAGTTACTAGGGAGGAGATATAGTCAGTTTCCTAGATAAGTAGGTACGTAGGTACGTAGGTAGGTGGGTAGGTGGGTAGGTGGTTTGCACCGGGTAATGAGTGGGCAGTAAGTAGTAAGTACTAGACAGACGTCATCGCGCCATGCCAGTACTCGAATAGATCGTCAGGTAGAAGAATTCTCTCTGTACAATTTCTCTTTCGATGTTGACAATTTTTATTTTCTGGTAGGTGGTATCATATCCATGTTCATATCATCTCATATAAGATGCGTATGAGTATGAGTTGAACCAGTAGGTAGATACCTCGTTATTACCTAGTATTTTGTGTAGTAGAAACAAAGCAATCGATATTCACACGCCTCAATTGTATGAAGAGTACAACAAAAAGTGTGTTCAAATACCCATATAAAAATACTGCACTTTGAGTAAATTGAGAAGATAGAATGCACGCGTGGACTTTTCGGACTATTCTTCGCCCTACGCCAGTATGCCAAACCATCTCTATTTGAACAAGACAAAGACACCTTCCAGGCCAGTAACACTAACCAAATAGTTGCTATTCTATTCACATAAAACACATGCAGGCTAGCATTATCAAAGAGCTATTCCAATATTTGATCGATCCGCTCCAGTATGATGATTAATAACAATCCCAACAAAATTTCCATGCCAACTAGCCACTCCAGTATTCAACTCCAGCGAAGCGTACGCAGCTTTCATTTCGGGACCAGAATCAAAGCTCACAGTAGATCCCCACTTCAGATCCGTTGATCCTACCGTCATAGCGAGGTTATGAGGCCATTGCCATGCAGAAAGCGAGGGCTCACAACGTGCAATCGACATTTTGCTTATTCTGATACGATCTCTGCTCGTGCTTCGTCCCTTGACGTAGATGACGCAGCAATCTGTGTTATTTCTAGAGAGAACTAGGATTATTTCAAAATTCCTAGATAGCGATTCCCATGTGAGATGTGACGCCGAGTCATTGAACCCAGGCGGAAATACACTTCTTACTGAAAAGCCGGCTCTGCTCATCTGATTATGATATAATTGAAAGCCTGAATGTTCATTGGTATATTGATCCGGATGAAAGAGTAAGAAATCCAGGTCGTTGATCGAGTTGGATTTTCGAGGTTTCCAAGTCGGGGGTGAGCTTTTCGGTTCAATGAGATATATTGATTTCCACTTGATCTTTCGATTTAAACCTTTGCTTAAAGTGACGGAGATGACGGGCGGACTTCCAGGAAGGCGTTCAAAAAGTTGATCTTTTCGTTTTAGTAAAGGTAAGACAAATGCTTCATGCTTGTTCCCAAGCTGCGCGACTGCCCATCCACTGATAAAAGCAAGATAAATACCTAGCGACGAATTGATACACATCAGAGGTAAGTTTATGTTCAACCCCAAATTTGTCATCATAGAATGAGTAGCCAATTTTAAGTGATTATCAAATTTCGAGAGAGAAACTGGAAACTTTTTGAAGTAATGAGATGACGGCGCCAAAATACCATAAGAGCGTAAACCCATATTTGTCCGTGAGGAAGTCTCTCGCCAAGTCATATCGAATCCCCAAGCAAGTATACTTAGATCTTGGTTCTTTTTGAGGACTTCCTCTTGTAGGCGTTGAAATGCCTTATTTCCTTCTCCGTATAACAACGGCATGTTGACTTGTAAGAGACCTAGTAGACAATAGGCGGCATCTTCTGGTCGAGTTGTTTCTCGCATGGCAGCCCACGAGAATTTACAACCACTAGCAATTTGGGCGCTAGCTTCGCCAAACTCAATTTCAAAGTACTTGGTTCCAATGCCCGTGATTTCTTCAAGTAGAACCATGCGTTGTCTTGGAAGATCAGCCCTCCGTGACTTTTTGTCTTCGCGTTCGGCCATTACTGAATCATTGAAAATCATATCCCATTCCTGGTCAAAGAAAACAATCTTGCTGGGTGCAAGCAATTCTTGTAATGTCCAACCTCGAGTAAACCAACGACTCTTCCGAAACGCCGAGTCGATCTCATATGGATCCTGGGCGGACGGAACGTCTATCAGGTAGATATAACATACAGCAGCCTTCTCATACCAAGCATACATAGAGTTGATGGATTCGGACAGTTCGGCACTGCTGCTCTTGTCAATACAGCAAGTATCTATCCAAACGAAGTCAAAGCCATCAATGATCGCCTGTCGGCAACAACCTTCGATTTTCGCGTAACCATTCTTCGTTTTGTGTTCGGAATTGGTAAGATCTTGAAAAAGTACCTCGTCTCCACCCCAAGTATGAGATAAAATCGCATACCTGGGGATTTTGGTGGCAGTGAACTCTTTCAATTGACGCGTGTGGACATTGAGTAGACGCATTTCAACTTGGCCGATCTGATAATCGTCGCACGTTGTAATTACGTAACTGTTTTGGACTCATGGGATAAGACGACATAGAAATCGCACAGGAAGTCAACCCAATAATAGCGTGATATCTGGGACTATTTTTCCTGAAATCTCTTATATCCTGAATTGAGCTTTCGAATGAAGAGATAGAATACGGAAAACTCAATAAGGGGGCTGACAGGGAGGATTTTGACGCACGTGAAGATAAGAAGCCATGATAGGCAAATTCTTGTGCGACGACTTTGCACTGCCCGCCAGGACGAATAATTTAAATAGCTGGGGAAATCCAAGAAAGTGACGATAGTATTGGGCGATACCGCAGAGCCCTGAGATTCAAATTGCCAGTTCGAATCAAGACCCGATTACTTTGACATTCCAATTAGATTCCCTGAATCTGATAAGCTACTCAGGGATTGAAAGCAAGCTGCATGGGAAAAAACAAAACAGACACACGTGTATGTATATTTAGCAAACCGTCAAGACTCCCCAAACCAGAGTCTCAAACAGTATTTCCGATGCTGGTATGTGTGAGCAAAACAATGGTTCAGGCAGCCAGAAGAAGCGATTCCATCGAATGATTCATGGAACAATATTGGAGTCCATCCATCTCAGAATATTCTCCGTATTGTTCTTCATCTCCAAAACCCTCCAAGCTTCGAATTGTGTGGTAATGTTGTGAAATATGTGGTGACCTGGTTTGAGATGGTGATAATTACCTAGTAGTATGATGAGACCCATGAACGAATATTGAATCGATGCTCGTAAGAAGTTTTCGCATTCTTGGATATTGCTGTTATATGAAGTATCAAAATATTTCAAGAGAAGAAACAAGAGTTGACCAATCGATAGATGTAGGAAATCCTCACCAATCCTCACCACTCCCGTCCATCAAAGTGGAGCTCAAAAGCATATCCCAACCTCTGACTTATCCATCCACCCGTTCACCAACTTTCCCCTCACTGATTACCATTATGCTCTATCTCATCGTCTGTACACATTCAATGCACATCTACACGAGCCACAACACAAGCCCAGGAACCATCTCGGAACCCATTCTCAAAGAAGAAGGTCCCAAAGTCACAGCCAATGTCATGGCAATATGTGATGTCAATCCAATCATCACTCATTCCATGATAAGATCGTCTCCACTTTGATGATGCAAACCTAGATTGAGCCGATAACAGGAAAGTACTACTCATTAGGTTTTGCTCACATAATTCGTACGGCTTCGTACTTCATTTGTCTCTGCTTGAAATAATCTGCACGCCAGTGTGATACGGTGGCGGACACCTTCTTGATCTGGAACCTTTTCGTGAACATCTTACTTCCATTTGCATATAGCTGATGTAGATGGACATGGGTAGCTCGGGTTAGGGTAGATATGGATCATATAAAGAGAGATGATGTCGCCATTCGTGAGGATTTTGGCAGTAGACGGATTCTGAGAGAGGGACTCGATTGAAATCGATTGAAACTAACTGACTTGAGTTGGAAGAAGTCATTGGATTTCTCGTGGTCGGGTATGTATTTACTTCTCTTATGTCCAACCTCAGCCACTCAGCCACTCTCTTTATCGCTGTTTATAAATGGCCCCGCCACCTTCAATTCAATTCCTGCGTCACCGTCACTGTGGTAGTAGGAAAGTATGATATACTTCGAATACGGCAGTCACCAAAGTTTCAATGAAACTCTACGGTTGAACTGACATCATGTATAGCAAAGCCTATCAAGGTGTTTTCCACCGTATTAGGGAAGTTAGGATTTTATTGGGTTTCTAGATAAATAAACCCTTGAGGATCAAAAATCTACCAAAGACCATAACCAAATAAACACCTTACAACCATGCTTTCCACATTCTATACAGTTTGTGCGATTTTCGCCTTCTCTCAATGTGTGTTCTCGCATCAATTATATCCAAATGGTGTTGATCGGAAACTAAGCGTAAGTTCCCTTCTACTCTCCACATTCCTCCATTTCACACGCCGGATCTAGTCCCTCGCATCCACATAATTCCAAACTAATACCCACAACTAGAGAACCACCATTTCCCGTCGAGAACTAGCACTAGCCAAGCGCGACGACGTTGATCCCTCACTACTCTACCCAACCTACAACCTCACCGTCCCAATTGATTATTTCCACAACGAATCTCGTTATGAACCTCACAGCAATGGCACCTTCCCACTCCGCTACTGGTTCGACGCCACCTATTATAAACCTGGCGGTCCAGTAATCGTTCTCCAATCAGGAGAAACAGATGCTACAGGTCGATTACCATTCTTACAGAAAGGTATATTACATCAATTGGCTGTTGCGACACATGGTATTGGTGTCGTGCTTGAACATCGTTATTATGGTCAGAGTATCCCAACCCCTGATTTCTCAACAGAGAATTTAAGATTCTTGACTACCGAACAAGCATTGATGGATGAGGTTTATTTTGCCAGGAATATTGTCTTTCCGGGATTGGAAGATTACAATTTGACTGCACCAAATGTGGCTTACATCGGGTATGGAGGTTCTTATGCTGGTGCCTTCAATGCCTTCTTGAGAAAGTTATATCCTGATACTTTCTGGGGTAAGTTCTTTCTATTCTTCCTCAAAGATTTAAATACAAAAGATAATGTAACTAACATGTTATTAGGAACAATCTCTTCCAGTGGTGTCGTTGAAGCTATCTACGATTACTGGGATTATTTTGAGCCTATCCGCGTTTATGCCGATCAAAAATGTATCAAGAATACCCAACTCATCACCAATTCGATGGATAACATTGTCATTGGTCAAGAAAACAACACCGCTCTAATCCAAGAACTCAAATCCGTCTGGGGGCTTCCAAATGTTACCTATTCCAATGATTTCATGTCGGTAGTCATGTACGGAATGTGGGAATGGCAAAGCAAAAATTGGGATCCAGAAGTTGAAGGAACACCATATTTTGATTACTATTGTGGTAATGTTACTAGCAAAAAACTTCTTTGGCCAAGTTTGAATAGCTCTACAACGGAAGTCCAGAAGTTGCTCACGAAGGGTGGTTATGGTTCTCAACTCAACAGCTTGACAATTCCATATTTGAATTGGATTGGTTGGTTGACTGGTAAGAGCATCCGCCCCAACCTTTTCTCGTATCACCTGCAAATACTAACAAACTCCTAGATTACACTGCCACTAATTATGGTGATTGTTCCCCCAACCAAGATTCTTGTTACTCGACCCACAACTCTACTTTCTACGCGCAAGACGACGCATCTCAAGATTGGCGTCTCTGGCCCTACCAATACTGTACCGAATGGGGATACCTCCAAAACGGTGCTTCCGTCCCCGCAAGCCAACTACCTCTTCTCTCCCGCACAATTGATCTTCCCTACCTCTCGATTATCTGTGCGGAATCCTTCAACATCACAACTCCTCCGGCTGTCGAGAATATAAACAAATACGGTGGTTTCAACCTCACTTACCCAAGATTAGCATATATAGATGGCGAACAAGATGTTTGGCGTCCGGCTACTCCTCATGCCTCACCTTTTAATACTACGGCACACAATCGAACCTCTACTATTGACCAACCTTTCATCTTGATTGAAGGAGCAGTGCATCATTGGGATGAGAATGGACTTTTCGCAAATGAGACCACCAAGAGCCTTCCTCCAAAGACGATTAAGAAAGTACAGAGCCAGGAGGTTACATTTGTGAAGAAGTGGATGGAGGAGTGGAAGAGCGATTGCCATAGGAAGAAGAGAGCGCTTGTCTGAGTTTGAGGCTATTTGATACTTGTATATGATCTTGTACATATATTCTCACATGAATAAGATTATAATGGCGAGCGAGTAATTAGGCAAATGATACAAAGTATGATTTTGCAGACCCATGCAAATTCCATTGCTATTACAAGTGATCTGCCAACCTGGTACTGCCGTATGTTAGACCCTGGATTTGTTTTATGTTTTTTCACAAACTTATCAGCAGAAGAGAAGATGCATAATGTGTTTGATTAAAGTGCCAGGTGTTTCTTGAGCAAATGCAGTAATGTAGCTAAGCGTGCTCTCGATTCCTTCAAGTCCTTCAATCCTTAAAATGGCTGAGCTCATGGTAACTGCCCCCCTTAAGCAAGGAAAAGAGAAGTAATACAGAACAAGGAATTCTTAGACTGAAGCCCATCAATACAGAAGAAACAAAGAAATATCTCAAGACCAGTGCTACTCTTCATATCTAGCTTTTATCCCATTCACTCAAAGTCTTTGTAGTTTCTGGAGTCGAAAGGAGATTCATATACACACACAACGCCAGCTTTTTTAAGTTGGCGATAAATAGCCAGCCCAAAGCCCTCAACCTCAGCTTCCTGCTTTTCGAAACCAATCTTGACACTGTTTGGAAACCTCCCCAAATGCTCCCCTTGAAATGACAGTGCAGCGTCGGCCATCAGCGCTCGCAAGCAATTGCCATCTTTTGTGAGTGAGAAGACGACTTCGATAAAGCTGGATTTGAAAGCCGATGGACCACCTTCTATCAAGGCTGACCGAAGTTCGTAGTATATCAGGGTGCTGATATCTCCCAAATCATACAGATCTGCGTACTTTAGGAAGGAAATACAACGTTCAGCAGCATTTCGTCCATTTTTCGAGATGGAGAGTTTGTCACCAACACTGTGATGGAAGATGTACTCTACCAGAACCTCGAAATCTTCCACAGTATCTTCTGGAAGTTCTATTATTTGGGTCTGACCTTCCATGAAGTTTCCATTGAAAGACCTATCGAAGACCGGAGAATAATATGAAAGAAGATCTTTTGGTACTTCAAATGACTTCTTCTCAGGACCAACAAATATCTTTACTTTCGAACTCACTACCATTCTAACAGATAAGTCATTAGCTTTGGTAATCATTAAAAGATACGCGAAAGTCACTGACTTGATGTACAAGTCATTTCTAGGTCTTTGTCGGGAATGAGGAGCATTAACTCTTGGAGTATCGATCTTTAAGGTGTGAGAATTGCAACTCTTGATTCTCTTGCCAGATGTACCAAAGGTGTCAATGGAATTATCACTCAAATCTGAAAAAAGTTCCGAGTCTCCTGGGCGTGTTATAAAAGGGGCATCTGTAGCTGTGACGCTTGGATAATCTCTTCTAGGAGTTACTACAAAGATTTTGTTCAACATTTCTGATGAAGCTTTACGTTTGACTCCAGAAGTAGTTGCAGAAGTTGTGGCTTAAGAGGAGGACGCTACAGGCATGATGCGGGATCTGCGGGACACATGTACAGACTTCGCATCAGCCGTATTATCAGTAGCTTCTTGCTTAATTCCAGAAGAAAGTTCAGACTTCATGGCTGCCAAAACTGTGAATAGCATTTGGTTAGTGGGAAACATTGGAAATTCAGGCAAGTAAGAGAGAACAAACAATCTTACGTATGTCGAAACAATCGAAATCTCGAAGCACAAAACGAAAATCAGAAGTCACTTACTAAAGACCCGAAAGAGTCGGATGATATCAATGAAGAAGAAGCTTTACTTTTGAAGAAATGAATCGACAGGATTGTATTGTATGAAAATTGATGAAACCTCGAATCGCAGCGATGAGATAAAAAGATATTGAATGATGCGGTAAGAGTGGAGATTCTCAACAGATGGAAGAAGATTGGATGAGGATATACACCACCGCAGATATGAAAGATATGATAAAATACACGAAATCCAGATGAGAACACACGAGATAACTGATGAAACTGATGAATTGAAGATATACTTCCTCACTAAGAGATGAAATTGATTGAGAAAAAAACGAAGAAGAAGAAAAGGCGGACGAGAAGTAAAGGTGAAAGTGAAATCCCGCTAGTGAAATGCGTGCAATTGGAAAGTGCCAAAATGGGAAAGAGCAAGCACGTCGACCACTTGGTTGGAGATGGCACGTGCTATCAAGTGATTGTGAGGTTTGGGAATAGTTTGAGAGTTTTTGAGCGATGTATTGGAACGGAGAACGTGGTTTTGATGAGTGTGTGATATCAGTTATTCATCTGTGTTATTTTGATTGATTTGAAGTATCTCATGGTTGTTTTTCTATTTCTGAGGGCTGGCTTACAGTATGAGATGGGATGGGATGATACGAGATGGTGAACGATCAATTTGGAAGCATTTACCTTATGTTTCCTCGTAACAAGAAGATGACACATAGGTACTAAGCTTCCAGCGATGTTCAATATAGGTACCTAGTAGGTATTCATATCCACATTCATATTCATTTCCTAGGTCGATAAGCAAGATGGTAAGAATTGGATCTGAGGAACCAACCAAGATACCAAAATGTTTAAAAGCAACGGTGTTGATATACATTCACCCCTCATGGGCTCTTCTTTCAACCTGCCACCTATCAACTCGTAGCAGCCACGGCCAATGCTAATACACCTACCAAGAAGACATCCAAGTCCAAGCTATTGACAACTGCAGCAGAATCTGCAGCAGCCGTACAATTGAACTGCGCAGAACAGGCTTTAATTTGCTGATGATGAACATCCCATCCTGTACTATAGCAAAAAAAAAGTCATCTTGGGTGCCCGTATGGGTAGAATATTTGAACGTAATGAATTTTCCCGCCCCCATTTACGATTTTCCTATAGTGACCATCTTCGGAAGAGTCGAGTGAATTGCAATATCTTTATCACGTTGAAGAACGTCACCTTGACGTCCTATCTCAGTGCATTTCGAGTCGTAGATGATTAAACTGGATTTCTGACTGCTAAGTTTGTCCCCGATGTATACAGGAATAGCCATGAGGTTTGTGAGGGTACACTGGCCGGGGGTCATCGAGGTCGTATTGAAGGTCTGGGGCTAGATGGTAGATCTTGTGATACGTCTGGCCATTTGTAGTTTTCTCCTTTGCGAGGACAATTTGAAGCGAGGGCGAGAGGTGGAAATATGCTGAATATCGTCACGAGGATGGTAATGGGGGAGAAACCGCGGGCCGGGTAAGATCTGAACTGCATATTCTATTGAACATGTTAGCCTAGAGATTATTAAATAAGGTATCGCCAAAGACCTACGGTTAAATAAGGAACTTTGCGTGCGTACGTGTAAACTGCCACTTTTTTAAGGGGTTAACATTCTGTGGGAGATGATAGTCCCAGCAAAGACGTTTTGAGTATTGTATTTGAGATTCTACAAGACTTACGCTTTGACATGATTGTTTTGATTTGTGATACATGTACATGAGTAGACGATGACCAAATATCAAGGATCAAATAGTTTGCATCAGGGAAAGTCCATGATTCGATTCAATAATAACTCACTTTTCGAACATTATAACAAACAATTTGAATGGCACGACACAGTTATTCACTTCTGGATCTGATAATAGAAAAGAGTGTTCAATAAATCAAACTTATGTACTACTATCTTTCAAAGTTCGCTGCAAGTAACTACAACAACAAATATGAAAGAAAGGCCTGGGGATTCATAAAGGCCCTCCTCTCTGCAAATCGTAAAGGCTCTTCTCGAACCCACCATTTCAAACGCTCCATCACTCCGACAAATCCAACATCCCGCTCAACACTTTGAGGGTATTTAACCAGTGCATCCACCGAGTCTGACGGATCCAGCATACATCTCGTAGGTATCGGCGTTGTTGGCAGCGTGAGCAGCAGTCAAAGCCTTGGCAGCAGTTGGTCCATAAGCCCAATCTTCAGTACCATACAAGTGAGTCATCTCGTGCAAGATACTTCCGGCACGGTCATAATCGAAATCAGTGCAGGTAGGTGAGTACTCATCAAAGCCCCAGTATCCATTGTTTGGGCAAGGAACAATGACGTTGGCGCTGGGAACTGTGTAGAGCAAGGCACTTCCGTCAGCGCAATCTCCGTAGGTATCTGTGCAAGAGATCTTTGGGGATGTGGTTTGAACGTTCTTGACATCAGTGTAGATAGCACGAACGGCAGTCTCCTCGGAGGTAGACTTGAACCAGGTGGTGAAATAATCAGCGGCAGTACCAGCAGCAGTGTAAGCATTGGTAGCCAATGTGATGGCATCAGCGACTGTGGTCTTGAGGGAGGTGGTTTGAGCGGTGGTACAACTGCTGTAGGTAACGGCACGCTTTGAGATACGTGACTTGAATGGCTCATCTCTGTTTACGAGATCACTTCGAGGAAAAGTTAGCAACCAGCAGTGGCTTCGAGCAGTGATGGTACTTACGATGCAACCTTGCTTTGATCAGGGGTAATAGTCACAGTGTTGGAGGTGACAGCGTCGCAAAGAGTGGTTTGGCTCAAAGCAGATGGAGCACGTTCTCCAATGACATATCTGAAACCTTGGATAGCGGTAACATCAACAGTCTCAAGACCTTCAAGATTGTAGGTCTTGGCTACATTGAGAGAAGTTGTTACTGTCTCGCCAGGTTGAAGAGTTTGGAACATGTCAGCAGCAAGGCCAGTACGCTTGTAGTTGACATAAGTTCCCTTGAATTCAAGATCCTTATCAGCTGTAAACAGTCAGTTATAATTCCAAGGCAGATGGCCATTCGTATCCAGGAGCTGAACATACCTGTAGAAGCTACGACGTCCAAAGTAGCGTGTTCACTCAAGACGGTGTTACCCTTGAAGAGAGTGAGGGTCTCGGCACCAGTGTTGGTGATTGCGACTTGAGCAACATGATCGGCAGTGCCAGCAATCTCAACTGAGAGAGGGCAACTGGTGGCAGCCATAGCTGCACCAGCAAGAGCGGCGACTGGGAGAATCTTGGAAATCATGTTGAGATCTTTGGAGTATTGATCTGAATTGAGAATTGACTGGGAGGATGTTCTTTCAATAGAGAGCGAAAATGCAGGACTATAAGTACTGATTTCCTCTTCATTGTCAAATGATAACAATCTGCCAGATGAGGCAGGTAAGTTCAAAACCCTCCCATCTCATAAACTGTATATCTTGATCACTAGGTTCCTCACAATGGAAACTGACCTAGAATCGACAATACCTTCACGTGTGTCCACGTCGACCAGCCTCATGCAATTGATATGAACGACGAAGAGGGTCAAAGCCAAGACGGTTCAATGCACAAAGTCGCATCATCATCTCTTGGCTACAAAAATCCTTCCCATATATAGCAACTCGATCTAATCAAGATATCAGTGGTACACGGACTGTCCAACGTGTCTTGTTGATTTGTTATAGATATCTAGAACCTTTCCTGAAGAAAAAAGCAACGAGCCTTGTGAATGGCTGGACGAGACATTTGCCGAGGTGGTGTAATGTCGGATAAGCTTCTTCGCTAACCTACATCAGGAAGGGGAATGTCTTAAGGGGCCTTGGCGAAATATGCCAATGCTGGATAAGCATCATATTTATGCCGGGACCAAGCGCCAAGTAATTGCTTGAACATTTGGCGGAGGAATTTGCTTACATAGGAAGGTGAAGGTGGCGCTTTGCCAATATGCGCCAATGATATTCCCATGATGAACTACATTCAAGTGCCGGAAGCCAAGTATGCGTCGCAGTACCTTATCTCGCAATTTCATGTGACCTGTAAGAGGACGTTCGAAAACGGCAGCTCGGGAATTTTGGATCCTCGTTCGTGTCTATCCTTCATCGACGTTGATGGGCCCACGAAGAATTCAAATGTGTATTCCGCGTATGGCGGCGATATCCTAGGAAAAGTTTCCATTTGATATCATTATTTCGTTGACACATGGAATCAAGTGTATCTTGTAGTCCGATAACGGTGTGGCTTCGCATGTCTTTCTTCTCATGAGTTCTGCCTCTAATACGCAAGAAGAGGCTTGGAACATGACAAGAGGGAATTCAATCGTGGAATACTGTGGACAGTATTGTTTGTGCATTGCTAAATGACAGCAGTCGATGATGTAGAGGGAAAGGAAATAATTCATTGCGATTCATTGCTCAAGACCTACCGCTACTCGCTGTGGACGATAGCTTCTCCTCTTTCAAATTCCGATAATTCATCAACAAATCAATGGTTATCTTCGAAATCTCAATTCGATTGTCCGAAAGCTGATCTTGGACCAGAGTTTTGAGGGGTTTTGGTATTCAACAATATTATCGTGATAGAATATCTAAACGGAGATATGTTTGAGGATTCTCAGGCTTTGGTGATTGAGCCCAGCATTTTCGTCCACCACCAGCGATTTCTCCAATGACTAAGCATCCGAGGCACCATCTTGATAACATGGAGCAAGGTTATTTGTCCAATACATATCTGATCTGCCCACTCACATAAGCTCCATAGACACTTTGATTTCAATTCAACTGGCTTTTTCAACTTGCGTTTATCACAGCATAGCTTTGCTCTATCACTGAATGTATTTCACACATTGCTGATCTCCTAAAATGCTTACGGCAGGGGTTATATAGTTAAGATGGCTTTGGTGCGTTATCGAGAAATTCTGGCTATTTACAAAATGAGCTTCAGTTTTGACGGTGGCTTTCTCACCGGATGGTTTATTGAGTAAATCTTTGTTATTGTATTTATATATCTGCAGGATTTTCAACAATTTGGATGCCGAAAATACGCACAACTTTTGCGGTGCGAGTAGTGTTTGGTGAGGCTTCCAAAAGTACTCAACGGGTCTACGCTTACTTGCGTCTCGTGTCCTTTACTTTGGTGTCAAGTTTCGTCTTAGTACCTTTATGTAGGAGAGATGACCAGAGTCATCTCGCCTCGATTTCAATGCACATCACCTCTCAAGAACTTGAGTGCGTGGAATATTCGTAATTTATTCGCGGGGGCTTCTTCCGTAAGTGCCATTTGGAGATCTGGCATGAAGGCTTGCGAATCTTCTAAAGGAGTGAAATCCTCTTTCATTTTCGATGATTTTCCATTTGTTCAATACACATTTGTTCACTTGTTTCAGCAATTGTTATTTCAACCTACATCTTGATAGTTGCCCAAGAATTTATATCACAAAAGTCGTAAGTATTGAAATCGTCCTCGCTGTCAGCTATGCTTGTCTCTCGATAGAAGAGAAGCATCTCCGGTTCAGTTTCCTCTATTGAGAATCCCTATTTGGCATCTTTTGACCATCTCGATTTCGATAACAACAGAGTCATTGGCAGTGAAGCGTTTAGCTTGGGTCTTTGCATCGTGTTCGACATGAAAGAGATTACCACCAATTTAAGCTATCGTCTTCCACTTCTGAACTTCTGGGAATCTGCAAACGGTCAATCAGAAACGACCTTTGCGCCTTTCATAATTGCAACAGACATTTACACGGGGCTTCTGGAGTGCCTCTGCCCCATAATAGAAATTTGGTCTCGAAATGGGATCACGTCAAGACAGGCTCAAGGGTATTGTCAGAAAAATAAATCCAATTAACAATTTAAATGAGTTCCATCTTCACTTTGTGCCATGAATCGAATTGCCTCTTCACATTTGCCAATTGAACAAAACTGCGGAAGCTCTGGCAGCAGACAAGCAGACCCCAACATTACAATCGGTGTTTCAGATCATATTATCTAGACATTGAAATTTGCACATCAGAAGGTATGGATTCGACATTACGATGATCAAGCTAGATGATGAAACCCGCCTGATATTCTTTGATCCCTCGGCTCCCTCAGATCATGTGTTGTGTCTGCTGTCCTACGATTGATCTAGCCACTAGCAGACTACCTTCACTTTATTAGTTTAGTGGGTCTTTGTGGTAGCGGATGGTGAAGAGAAAGTTTCTTTTGGATGAATGATTGATTCTGCATGGCGTTACGAGCGAGACCCAATTTACGCCAGTCTAGATTTCTGGTTTATTTTTCTCCAAGAGAATTTTGTCGGCGCTTATTTCTTGATGAATTATCGCACCTTTAACCTAAACAGAAGAAATGAGTATTGTGTATTTCGCGCCAAAGATACTGACGTAGTCTCCGAATCGAAGAAACTTTGTACCATGATTACTTTTTTACAGATTCTGTGTGAAAAGCATGTTAGACATTCGAACTGAGCCCTATGATCCTTTGATCTATGAGATCAGCATCCTGTTTCTCCCAGGCCTCCCTGAGTTCAAAGCTCATAGCCGCAAGACAAAGTGGAGAATGAATCGGCAATGAAGACCCGTAACATTTTGCCGAACGCAAGAGACCATGATACATCACTATCACAATACTACTGTGCATATAACCTAAAGTATATTTCATCCTGGCATTGGCGGCTAATAAACCATACACAACAAGGCTGATATTCGCGCTAGCATCCCATATATGGACATATAGACCCGACAGTTTGGCTCTGGCCATGGGTACTTATTACTTCCAACTGTTGCCAAATGTTAGTACAGTCATTGATATCAAATCAATGGAGATGAAATATTTCAATATGAAACGAGTAGTTCTCGAGAATTATTACATTATTGCACCTCTCCTGCTCGGTCAGAAAAGCATTGTCTTCCAACATCAACTTCTTTCCTTTCTTTCAAAACCTTCACGCAACTTCATCCAATTTTGAGCCTTTGATAGACAAGATGCATATTCCTAAATTATTGGAATTCTCCACCTACCTCGGTCTGAGTTATGGTGCTTGCGATACAAACGTCACAATATCAGGGCTAGGAAGAGCTGCCGATGGACAGCCAGCCCTCGATCGCCCAATCGGTCTCTTTTCTTTTGGAGGATCAAAATGCTGTTAGTTCAACTACTTCCTCCATATTCAGAAAACCAATTCTAATAAGACTACACAGCTCCAGAAACCACTGTTCAAAGTTCGTCATCACTATCAAAACTCTTTTCCATACTGTCAACTGACCCTTGACTAGCTCAAGATATCACATATAGCCACATCAGCATTCGCAGTTCTTCGAGATCAGACTGGTACAGCTATTATGGATTCCCAACTTTTGACTTATCCGCACACTGCGATATTCAGAGCTCTGGCGTTCCTCTGCGAGAATTCGTTCAAACAGGACATTTCACATGGACATTGATCCCCGAGCAAAAAATCACAAATATTGTTTGCGAAACTACTCCTCATACCATGGTCAATTTCATCGGACGTGAGAAAGATGGAACACAAGTTTTCCGCACGGAAAAAGTAGTTGGGAATTCAGAGCTGGGATTTAGATTTGGTGAGCTTGCCTTTTCTTATGACATTTGGCTGTCATTAAGATAGATTTGACTAATAATTAAAACAGACTCGGAGTCTCCAACCACAATCCATCAACTGGAGTCTACCTACCCATACTTCGGCTCCTGCAAAGTTTCAAACGGAAGGAATAAATTCTCGTTCACGAAAACCGATCGTGGGATTTACACTATTCATCCCCCACAATCTAAGCTCAAGATTTCGTGTCCGGATTTGGCTTCGTATCCGTGGAAAGGAACGTCGATGCCAAAATTGTATGTTCAGGGTTCGTGATGGTTATGGGATCTGGGGGGTAATGTGGAGTTTGGTTTGATTTGGATGAGACATACATATCATTGTATGGTTGTATAATATTTATGTACTGGATGTATTTTTAGGGTAGACATGAGATGAGATGAAGATATTAACTCTCTCACTACCTAAGTAGTTAAAGTCTGTAGATTCAGACACTAATGGAGAAAAGTTTCAATTTAAAATTCCTTCTTCTTCCACACAACCCAATATTTCCCTTCCAGCACCTCACAGTATTCTCCTCCTCAAAACAATCCAACAAATCTCATAAGAAATATTCACATACGCCGCACTCCCCCGGAGTTATCCACCCAGACCTGCATATACCCGCCAAACGAAAAAAAATCCTCACATTCAGGGTACATATGCACTCCAAGT